GAGGTTGCCCTGTGACCTAGCTGAGCCAGGCGCCACTCATCTAGAGTTGCACATGAGTGGACTCTGTGCTCAAAAAAGTAGCGTTAATACTTGTTTGTATTGCATTTACTTTACCGTTTTTTAGGGCAGCGTTTCTCGCTGCTGCCACTGCCCACATTTAAAGGAGGGATCTGCGTACTTTGTTACCCACAGCTACTGAGCGAGCTAAGAGGAAAGAAAATTTTTAGTATCCAAACAGAACAAACAATTCATGTGCACACCTGAGGTGCAGCTACCCGGCAGGGTAGGAGCCGGCGGCCTCAGGAGGCTTGGCTGTGGGTGAGCCTTGTCAGTGCGGCTGCAAAGCCACTGCATTCAGCGCCTGGCGCACACAGCCAAGACCCCCAGCGCCCTAAAATGTAGTTTTTAGAAAGAGCCCAAGCAGGAGCCATTTGTGTCCAACAAAACCCGATCCTGGGTGAAGCAGCGCGAGGGTCGCGGTAAAAGCCACTATTGGGGCGGTCTGGCGCTGCATAGTGGCGAACAGCGGCACCACCCGCGCCCCGGCTGCATGCAGTGTGGCCTTTGCTTGTCCACGAGGTCTTCATTCAGGAAACAGGCCGAGTTGAATTAGGGAGCTGGGTTTTGCCTGTGCCTGTCTCTCGCGTGCCCATTCTCTTTGAAGAAACGTTCTACAACGAAAAAGAAGAAAGTTTCAGCATCCTGTGTATAGCCCATCCTTTGGAAAAGAGGGAGAGTTCAGTATTCTGGGAAGAACCCTTTGCCCCCGATTTGGAGAAAGGTGTCTGTCGAACTTCTTCCTGCACAGCTGTCAAAAGGTTAAACATCCAGAAAATATTCAAGAGCCCACTAAAACCTGCATAGCTGTTTGCAGTGATTTTCTCGAGAATTATCGGAGTCATCTCGAGCGAAGGAGATGTGGGTTGGGGCTGCGGTACGGTTGCACAGGCTGGACATCACACAGTTCCAGGAGGCACCATCCACACAGGCCTCAGTGTACCGTGCGTGCGCCTGTGATGGGACGCGTCCCGCCTGCACCCCCAGATCGTGCACAGCAGCAGTCCTGGCTTTGCTCTGGGTCTCAGCTGCAGGGGTTGCTGTTACAGCTTTTTTCCCAGCCAGCCCCACCGTTGTGCCTCTTTGAGATCTCATTATTGGTAATGAATAATAATTCTTCATTTGCCCCAGGAGATCAGATGGCCATTAATGTGCCCAAGCGCACCCAGGCTCTCATCAGGCGATCCGGCCCGGGTCTCGCTGTTCCTGCCCACGGCCGGGTGGTGTGGTGTAGGTCCCAGGAAAGGCGGTGAGAGGACCAGCCCTTGGAGCCCCGGGTCGTTCTCCTGCAAATCTTGAAATAAGGACATTCCCCCTCCACGTCACGCGTTGCCCTGCCAGACGGGGCCCTGGGCCCTGGAGCGGGAGAGTGTCATGGAAAACTTCTCCATTCCCAGCGAAGCAGCCGCGCTGTCAGCCGCCCGAGCGTCTGTCTCTTTTTCAGAAGAAGGCCGGCCGCACCCTCCGACCGCCTTTTCCTGAAAACCATCGAGGAATGTCTGAGAGAGTTTCTGGGGAGACACGCGAGATTTGACAGGAACATCCGCCTCTTTCCCACGCGGGCTTCCGGGAAGTGTGAGAGGACGAGCCTCCGCCAGCACAGTAGTCTAGTAGCCGCGCTGCCCGGCCCCCGCCTGCCCGCTCTGCCCGCCCCGCGTCGGCTCCCGGCCCTCTGTCCGCCCTGGGACTGTGCGCGCCGCCAGCCGTCCCCGTGCAGATCCGTATAAATGTTTCTGACTATAAAAGGTGGTGGAGCCCGGTGCTGCACCAGCGTGCGCTGTAGGTCCCAGCTACTTGGGAGGCTGAGGGGGAGGATCCGTGGAGGCTAGGAGTTGAGGGCAGCCTCGGGAAGCGTGCGCAAGGCACTTGTTTCTCTTTTCTTTAAAAAAAAGTATCAAGCCGGGGCGCAGTGCGCCTCATGCCTTGTAATCCTAAAGCGCTCTCCTCTGGAGGCCGAGGCGGGAGGTCGCTCAGGTCAGGAGTTTGAAACCATGCCTGAGCAAGCGAGCGAGGACCCGTCATACTATAAATAGAAAGACCATTAATTGTTCCCAATAACATATATAGGAAAACAATTAGCCGGGCATGGTGGCGCACGCCTGTAGTCCAGCTACTCGGGAGGTGGAGCAGGAGGATCGCTGAGCCCCCAGGAGTTTGGAGGTTGCTGTGAGCGAGGCTTGACCCCGGCACTCACTCCTAGCTGGCAACAAGTGAGACTCTGTCTCCAAAAAAAAAGAGGTCGCATGCGTAGTTGCTTAGGTAGATCGCGCGTTGGCCAACGGGAAGGCTCCGGGGCGCCCCGCGGCCAGGCTTGAGTTGTTGCGGCCGCTCTCTCCGCCAGGACGCGGTGAAACGGCTCTACACAAATGGCCTGCAGCAGCTCTGCCGGGACTGCACTGGTAGCAGCTGGGCTTCCCCCAGAGGGGGGACTGCGGTTTGCCGCGTTGCGGACCCGAGCTGCTTTAACTGCCTCCTCTGTCCTGCAGAGAGCCCTGGCCAGCAGGAGGCCCAGCATGAGCCTGATGAAGCAGCGTGGAGGAGGGCAGGCAGTGGGCGGGGAGGCTCGCCCGCGGCCCGGCCCGCGCCCTGACCCCGCTCCGTTGGTGCGGGGCGTTGGCGCGGGGCGGGGCTTCACAGATGTACGTCCACACGAGGTTTACGACCTGTCTTCAGATACGTGGGCACCGTTGGAGGCGGCGAGTAGGCGCCCGGCCTCGTGGCCCGGGAGGGAGGCCCCGGGCTGCGCGTTTCCTGAGGGCGTCTTCCAAGCTTCGGCCTGACCGTCCTTCTGTCAGGATGCCGCCTTTAACAAAAACACAAGGAGCCTTCAAGCATCTGCAGCAGAAAGACATCGCGTGAAGTCCTGAGTTCCAGGGAGGCGTGTGCCGCGATTTCTCTCCTGACGCGGGTGTCGCGGCGGCAGGGGCACGCCGATTTGGGGGGGTCGATGGGCGGGGAGTTATCCTAGGTCGACCTAATAAAAGCGCTGAAGGTGACAGTGACTGTTCAGTGACCCTTCACGGGCTCACGCCGCGCCCCCGCCCTCACCTGTGGCTAGGCGTCGCGCGGCTGTGATGCGACTGGCCAGGGACGGCCTCTGCACACTGGCTCTAGGGGCCACGTGACTCGCCCAGGGGGGTTCTGTGTGCAGCGCGCCCCCCCTCACCTGCCTCTTGGGGGAAGCGCCGGCCGTTAGGGCACCTCCCTATTAAGAGCTTTCATCAGGGGTACAAAATGTCTGAAGTGTCTGTGTTTAACTCACCCCACCTTGTGGTCTAATTTCCCTTCGGCCTAAAGAGTTTTTTATCTTTTCCCCAAATTTCTGGTGTCAGCGCCTGGCTCTCTCTTTTTTTTCCCCCCTGGTGGATCTCCCCCAGCTCTCTGTCACCTGGCAGCCCCAATGGCATTTAAAGCTGTTGCGTTTTGCCACGCGACTTGCAGGTCAGATTCCAGCATCTTTTTTCCCCAACCCTGATGGTTTGTTGGGACACACACATGACCCGAGCCATGTTGTTACTGGATCAAGGAAGAAGGGCTGAAGTTGTCACTTTCCCAACCACTTCACAGCTTCAACATACCCCCGTGCGAGAGAGAGAGCTGGCTCAGCTGAACAAGTGCACCTCCCACAGCAGAAGCTGGTCTGCCTGCGGAAGGTGGTGCAGCTGATCACGCAGTCTCCAGCCAGAGAGGTTTGTGCTCGGGTGGCCGAGGGTGGCCACACCCATCAGACAAAAAGGTCTGCCAAGGGGTGGCAGTGTGCAACGGGTCACACAGCTCGGAGTCTGTTCTCTGGGGGGGGTGCTTAGTTTGGGAGAGTAGGCTAGACACAGGGGAGGCAAGAAAACAGGGGGATGAGGGAGGGCCCTCAGAAGTGGAGCTGAGCCCCATGATTGGTTGCATAGGAGTTCAACAGTTTGCTAGAATTTCTCCCGAAATTTATTTTATTTTATTTATTTTGAGACAGAGTCTCGCTTGTTGCCCAGGGTAGTGAGTGCCGTGGCGGCAGCCTAGCTCACAGCAACCTCAAACTCCTGGGCTCAAGTGATCTCCTTCCTCAGCGTCCCAAGTAGCTGGGACTACAGGCATGTACCACCATGCCCGGCTAATTTTTTCTATATATATATTATTGGCAATTAATTTGTTTGTATTTATAGTACAGAGAGAACAGGGTCTTGCTCCTCGCTCTTGCTCAGGCTGGTCTCAAACTCCTGACCTTGAGCGATCCTCCCTCCTCAGCCTCCCAGAGTGCTGGGATGACAGGCATGAGCCACCGCGCCCGGCTTCTCCCTGATTTTATACACATTTGAAAATTTCCAGTGTATAAAGCAAAACCAAGCTAAGAAGACACGGC